TCTTATCCCTTCCCAGGTGTCCTGCTAATCCACCCCCATGCAGATCCTTGATGATCTTTTCACAGAGGGAGGTGCAAGGGATACACAGTTGTTCCCCCTTCATAAGGAACCCTTCATAGATGTAAAAGTCAGCTGCTGACTGTCTATTCACATATTTCTCCCATACCTGTTGGAAGTCCTCTCCTGGGCATATAGGTCTTTTAAGCACTCAAAACCCATAATCTCAATACTGAGGGTCTTGATGAGGGCTATACGCCTGCTAAGAGCATCGGCTACTTTATTTTGTTGTCTAGCCTTATACACAATTTTATATGGGAATTTGTCTAGGAAAGCAGACTATCTAGCATGCAAATCACTTCTTAATTGTTTTTGCCCACTGAGATATTTTAGGGCCTGGTGATCAGTGTAGAGAACAAATTCTTTTGCAATTAAATAGTGTTCCCATGTCTTCAAGGCTCTAACCACAACATAAAATTCTTTGTCATAAGTAGACCATTTTCTCCTGGTTTCACATAATTTTTCACTGAAGAAAGCAATGGGTCTCTCTTCTTGGGACAATACAGCCCCTATGCCAACTCCACTGGCACTACATTCAACTTCAAATAATTTATCAAAATTTGGCAAGGCAAGGACAGGAGCAGTACATAATTTATCTTTTATGAGAGCAAAACTTTGCTCTTGTTCTTCTCCCCATTGAAATTTTTCCTTTTTCAAACATTTAGTGATGAGAGCCATAATACTGCTAAAATGATTAATAAATCGCGTGTAGAAAGTTGCAAACCCATGGAAGCGTCTCACATCTGTGACATTTGATGGGGTCGGCCACTCCCTAATGGCTTTCACTTTTTCTTCATCTACTTTAATTCCTTCCTTGCTCACAATGAATCCCATAAATAATAAATTATCACTCATAAAAGTGCATTTCTTCAAATTAGCATATAATTTATTTTCCCTCAATGCTTGTAGGACCTTCCTAATATGTTCCACATGCTCAGTGATAGATTTGTTGTAAATTAAAATATCATCAAAATATACTACCACAAATTTACCAGTGAAGGGACGCAGTACCTGGTTCATCAGCCTCATGAATGTGCTGGGTGCGTTGGTTAGTCCAAAGGGCATGACCAACCATTCGAACAAGCCATCTCTAGTCTTGAAGGTTGTCTTCCATTCATCTCCGAGACGGATCCTGATTTGATGATATCCACTCCTGAGATCTATTTTTGAGAAAACTACAGCTCCATTGAGCTGATCCAGCATGTCGTCTAGCCTAGGAATGGGAATTTGTACCCAATAGTAATTTTGTTAATGGCCCTGCTGTCGACACACATTCTCCAACTGCCATCCTTCTTAGGTGTTAGCAAAACTGGTACTGCACAAGGACTCATACTGACTTGAATGTGTCCATTTTTCAATAATTCTTCTACCTTCTCCCGTAAAATTTCATTCTCCTTGGGACTCATCATGTAATGTGGGAGGTTAGGTAGACTAGCACTTGGAACAAAATCAATATGGTGTTGTATATCTCTCATGGGAGGGAGTCCATTTGGTAATTCCTCTAGAACTACATCATGGAATTCATCAAGTAGTCCCTGCACTTCCACTGGAATTTTATTCTCATCATTAACATTTTCTCCCTTTACTACTAACAAATGTACTTTACGAGTATCCTTACATTCTTTTATAAATTTAGAATGATGAAGGGTAATGGTAAGGAAATTTTTCTCATGTGCTTTTGGGGCCTTTGTAATATTCTTTTCAGCCATGGGTAACAAAGTATAATGTATACCCTCTTTTTCAAGTTGGTAGGTATTCTTCCTACCCATGTGCCTTGCATCTGTATCAAATTGCCAAGGCCTCCCTAACAAAATATGGCAAGCATCCATATCTACAATATCACAATATACTTCATCATGGTACTTACCAAT